TGGAAAGCCTCCAGGAAAGGACTCTGGTCCAGGGAGGGGACGGGCAGTGAGGCCAGGGTGGCAGCTCTCTCTGGACCGTGGGTCCAGCCACTCATCCCGCCTGCCTGAGTTTCTGCTCCGGCCGAGCCAAAGGCCAGATGGTCATCTAGTGTGGTCAGTGCGATGACGAAGATGCATGGAGTCGTATCATGGGAAGGGAGACCAGGAGTCTAATTCTGGGCTGAATGTTAAGTCCTTGGGTAGAGCTGGTGCTCAGAGAGGACAGGGTCTAGGGAGGCGGGGCCCTTGGGCTGCCCAGCTCTGCTGCTTCTCATCCTCCAGGTGGAGCAACAAGGAAGCAGATCCACAGCCTCAGGGCGGGGTTGCCCTGGCTCACCCAGGAGAACCTCCCATCGCTAGGTCTTCACCTCATGAGGACTCATGAGCTTGTTCCTTTTCACACTTTTTAGCTCTTGCTTGAATCCTTTCTATTAGGTTTAAGAAAGACACACGAGGTTGTAGCTTCAATGCTTTTCTCTTATAAGATCACTTGTTCTAGAAAGTCTGGAACTGAAATGTATGGCGAGTCAGTGGAGAACATGGGATCAGTGTGATTTGGATTCCATGGTTGGCATCACTGCTGTGGTCAATGCCAAAGGCCCTGCAGCGGGTGCTTTGCTGTGGAACCACTAGACACACTAGGAGCCGCCTCTGCACAGCCAGGTGAGCGGGTGCAGCAGCTGGACCTCCTGAGGCCATCAGCGCAGGTCAGGAGCAATCACACTCCTGTGGCAATGGGTCCGCTGGTACTTCCTCCCCCGAGACCAGTTTAAAACTGAGATGCTCCAAAAGGACAAAGATTTATGGGCCACAGGGAGCGGGAGGGAGTGAATTATAGGAGATAATTATTGCTCAGAGTCAGTGCTTTTGTTTCCTTGAGCTCTGCAGGGGTGCTGTTAGGTGGTTTTGGAGGTGGCTCTGAGCCAGTGGAACTTGGAAGGACAAAGGTCTGTGTTGTGGAAGGTGAATTCCTTCCTTGACTCTGTTCCACTCCTCAGGCCTTGGACTTGTTGGAGCTGCTCACAGTACAGGCAGCTGTGGACCTGGTCTCTGGGTGGGGACGTGGGGTAAGGTGACAGGTACATGGGTTTGTGTTTTCCAGGCTCATCAGTTGACATCACGGGTCCAGAAGCAGTGAGAGGTCTGGAGCGGGGAGTCTTGACCGTGCAGTGTCGCTATGACCCAAAATGGGTGACCTACCTGAAGTGGTGGTGTCGAGGGGCTGTTTTAGGAAGCTGCAAGATCCTTGT